ACTTAGTACAAGTAATGGGGTGCAACCAAAAGGCAGAGTTTGCAGTTGCCAAAAATGAAACCCCCATATAAGTAAGGTGTCGAATTCCATTTTGATTGCTTATCGTGAAACCCATGATAAAATCCACTAACTACTCTGCTATTGCTGGAACAAAATACCTTTTAAAAAGTAGTGGGCTCAGACTAACAAGGATTTATTTGATATTTATCTAGCAATATCAAAGTGCTTAGACTTAGTTGCCAGACTTGTAGTGTTTTATTATAAGATAGTTCTGAAAGAACAGCTAAAAAAAGCATAACTATTGAGTTCTGAAATGTTTTCTTGACTTTTAAAACACTTTACAAGTAATTCATTTTTAGCCCTACTAACAACTCATATCTATAATCACAAAACTCTGTGAGTTGGTCAGTATGATTGTTGGTTTTCAGATCAGGTTGATTTGTCAGCTTCAAGATTTCTCTGCCTTGGGTCAGTAATTGGGTCATGTGGGTTTTAGGTTACATTTATAGTTTTTAACTAGACTGAGCCAAAAAATTGGCAACATCATGGAAAGCTAAAAATATATAAAACCATTTTGACAAACTTATTTTGAGTTAGCATATAGGAATTGAAATGTTACCTGACGTGTTAAACTGGACAGCTCTAAAATGCTAGCGGGTTATAATTATTGTCTGATGAGCAAGTAAGTACCTTCTTCAAGTGATGATGTCCTGACAGCTACTGTTTTAGAAGAAAACCTAGGAGTCAGGAAAGTGGCTTCAAGTAGAAGGCGGATCTTACACATAAGTTCTTTCTTAGCTATAGGATTCAATTCTTTCAGTTTTAACTACCTAATTGCTACACTTTTGTTCCTTGATCTGTTTTGCTGAACATTAGCTAATGTAATTTCCACCGCTTTTTTACATCAGTACTTCTTGTATGTTCTGTTGGAACCTTAAACTTCATGTAATGTCTTCAACTGGTTTTCAAACCTCTGCATATAGATAGGAAAACTGACAAATGATGCAAAAATCACTCCTGAAATCAATGATAAAGCCTGAGACAGACATGCAGGTGTTTTGTTTTTCCCACTTACAGCTGAATATCAACTTCCATCTCTTATTCAGCAACATATTTGTTGGCATAATAATGTCTTTTGTCGACAAGGTCTTTAATCTGTAGATCACTGTATTGATACTACAATTTCTGGGGGTTTGGCTGAGAACAGCAGTGTGATGGTTTGAGTTGGGAGTGTTCACATCTTGAGTTGTATTCCCTCTCCCTCTTTTATCAATTGATGTCTTGTAGAGGTGCTTGATGTTATTTATTGTTTAGAAAATACTGAGTGAGTTGCACTACTACTCTTACCCGTCTAGAAAGCACTTTTCTTTCTAGAAGGCTACTATGGGTAACAATATGAAAGAAAAATAAGCCTCCTAATTAGCTGTTCTCTTGTAGCTTCTTTAAAAGTTTATTTTAAAACGGATCTGGAGTTTATCACAAGGCATTGAATAACATTATGTACACCCTTGTACTTGCACTAGGACTTCCGTCCAGAAGGCATCAAAAAGTGTATGCTTTCATTGCTGTCAACAGTTGGAGGGATGGACTTGTCAGGGATGTGCTAGTTTGGTTTCTCTAGCATTAAATTCACTACACCCCCAAACACATCAGGGTTTTCTTGAAGCTAGGATTACTCCATTAGGCTGTGAGTCATACTTGAACCCCATTGCCTTTCAAGACAACATAGTGTGAGTGCTTGTTGAAGGGTGCGTGGGAACAGGCCTGGATGTGCCTGCGGTGGGTATGTGAACAACTGAATGCAAATGAATCACCTCTTCAGGAGAGCATAATATGCACCTGAGGAGGAACAGGTCATTAAAGCCACAGGACTGGTGAGCACAACATGCTCCTTAAATTTTCTGTGCTGAGATTTAGAAGCCATTTGCTGTCTGTCTACATGACTGCTGACATGAAAGCATGTGGTACAGCAAAGCTCCGTGGCAAATGGGTCAGAAGGCTGAGTGGGTGTCCCTAGCTTGGACTACACTGAGATGTCTCCCTTTTCAGCACTAATGGTTAAGGCTTATGTAAAAGTATACTGTAAATCTGCCTTTTTCAGGGGTTAGTGAAGTGTTTAGATTGCATGAAGTTATTAGCTAAATTAGAGGAGATGCGGATTTGTATATAAATATAAAATGAACAAATTAACTAAACAGAGACAAGAATGCATTAGTCTGAAAAAAAAATCACAGAGATGTATGACAGGACAAGAGAACCCAACAAAAGCTCTTTGTGATGTAGCTTAAACCCCAGCTGTGCTAGCTGGAGACCAGCCTCTTTGAAAATAGATGGTATGGTTTTTGTGTTTGTGACAATGTGATTTTTAAAATGCCTTCCCTTACAAGACACCCTACAGATTTTTCCCACAGGGTAAAAGGTAGAGATGAAATTTAAGCTGCCTGATAATGGATTATTTGTCTTGCCTGAGTGCCTGGCTGTGCCAGTGAGTTATGTTTTTCTACCACTTGGCACGGGAACAGCAAAGAACTTAAGTATCAGGAAAGGATGTTTCATATAGATAGATTAGCATGATGGTTTTGGTCACGGCATGCCAGTTTGAAGTGAATTTTCTAATGGTAGGCTATGAGATACTTCTTACAGCACTATTTGGGGGGAAAATTTGCTTTTGCGTTACTGGATTTCTGTGGTATCCAGCACTTCTCTCTGCAATGGAGCAGTGGACAGCTTCCATGACCATGTTCCTCTGCTCTTGGCTTCTGCTGACTCCTCTGGGAAAAGGATGTGTTCAGTACAGTGCCCTGCAGGACTGAACGCTCTTCCATTAGGAAAGTGCAGTTATTAAATAATGCTTTGAGAGGAAAACACCTAGAAGGTAGAATTCACTACCAGTTGGCAAGTGGTTTGCATACAAATCTTCTTCCCTCAGGAACAATTAAATGAAATCAGTTATATTTGCATATAAAAGAGTTTATCTCACCCCTCATCTGAAAATAGGTATTATGAGGCTCTTTTTCCTCAGAAGAATTCACATAAGGATTATTTCATTTCATTTTTTGTATATATTTTTTAATAATATTCACAAATGGGAACTTTAATAGCTTGGTAATCTGTAGAAAAGCTGTATTTAATACTTTAATGAATTTATAAAGGTTTGTGAAGTTACTTGCACTCACTAATTTAAGAATTAGTTTTAGGTATTTTAAAGAAATCTTATTAACTGGTCTTGACGAGTGATAAAGAAACCATCCTGTAGAAGAAAGGCCAGCTTTTCACCCCTGAGAATTTGTCAGGACTTCAGTACAGATTTTTCTGAATGGGTGTTTCCAGTTAAAACTCAAATTTAGGTCTTGGGATTGAGTTATGAGTCACAAAATATCAATAAGTAAATCTTCTTAATTTATTTGGGTAGGTTAAAACTCGACCAGCAGGTTATTACATACTTCTTTTTGTGTTTCCATAACACACATAAAAACACCTTTGTTCCTACCTGCATTATATTTTGACTTGGGCTTTTTCATGGTGACTCCCAGGCCTGACTCCAGAGCTCCTGGGCTGTTTCTGCCCAATTAACTAATTAAATTACATGTTAATAAATAATTATTATGTTAATTATGTTAATAATGAACATGTAATTTGGTCCAGTGGCCTTTTTTACAGCTTGGTTAGTGAGTCTGTGACTAGGGAGACTTTGGCCAAATGAGTATTTACTAGATCAGGAACCATCAGGACTAAAAATGAGACGTGTTAGTGAAAGTTAAACGGTAGCTTGAAATCTGTGCGATTCGTTACCCAGGTGGCATGAAGCTGCTTTAAAGCACATTCATTATAGTTTGCTCAAGAAGCAGAGGACTTTTGGGTAACTCTACAGGGCAGGTGAGGGGTGCCAGGGAAGGCTCAGAGCCAGGGTTTTACCAGCTTGGTTCTGTCTCTGGCCACAGGGTCCTGCTGGCCTGATCCCTGCCTCTTTCCCTCTTTCCTGGCACTATGAACGGCACCTAGTATTTGGGCAGTTCCCTGCATACAAACTGGGGTCCTGGCACTTCTCAATGACCCCCTTAGAGTGCATCTTAGGGGCATCAAAGTTGGAATACAATCTATGCAAGAGCTGTACTTTCTCAGAGTGCTGCTCTGAAACAGAGCCCTTTAATGCCTTCACTACTAAAACCAAAGTCTTAACACTTTTCCCAAAGTACACTCTTTAACATCACTATTGGCTTAAAAAGTTATAGTCCATATGTCAGCTGTGAAAGAACTTCTGAAAGCAGCCAACTGTTTTTTCTTTCCATAAGTGAAGTTATGGTACAGCTCTGCTTTCAGGCTTGGTGTTTTTTACTTTTTCATTGTAAAAACAGAGAGGAGAACTTGGAATTAGAAGTGAAGCTGGAGATATATTTTGTCCACGTCTTTACTTGCATTAGGTCCGACTTGTTATGAAAGCGATGGCTGCCTTTCCTCAAGAAATATTTCATTGCATGATTATTTCACTGCCAGCATGGATTTTTGTTTCCTTTTTGTCACATGTGAATGGCCTGCTGAAACATATGTTTTTCAAATCTAAGCATCTTGACACTGGAACAGGTTGCCCAAAGAAGTGGGAAATGCTCCATCCCTGGCAGTGTTCAAGGCCAGGTTGGACAGAGCCTTGGGTGACATGGTTTAGTGGGAGGTGTCCCTGCCCATGGCAGGGGGGTTGGAACTGGATGATCTTAAAGTCCTTTCCAATCCAAACCATTCTATGATTCTATAAGTAAGAGTCCAGCATTTGAAGCTCAGCTTGTGCAACGCTCAGCATCAGTAAGACCTGTAAGCCTTTTACTAGAAATTACTATTGCAGAGGGAGAATAAGGTTGAGAAACAGAGCAGCAGTGCTAGCAGATTGATGCTTGAACTTTTGCTCAGAAATGTTATACAGACACCCTGGTTCTTATAGCTTCCATAAGGCGTTTTATTAAGGTTGTGCATAATGTGATGTTTTATTTCTCCTGTTGACTTTTATAAGGAAAGAAGAGTTACCCATGTGTTGCCTCAGAAACATCTCTCTCAGTAATAATATTCCTAACTCATTAATTTGCTCCAATCAAATCTGATAGAAAGGTGGGCTTGTCAAAGGTTTCTGGGTTCCAGGTCCTCCTGATAACCCCTCCCCTTGCAGTCATGGGGCTGTTGGGTTCATGCTCACAAATGATGTTGGCAGCAGGCAGCTGGCTGGCTAACCCAGCTCCAGCTCCAGCAGCACACGGCATGTGTCTTCGCCTTCCCTGCAGAGGCAGCTGAGGACATGGAGGGGAGCTGAGGTTACTGCAGGGGAGGAGGGAGGGATGGGTGTGGAGCTGGGGAAGAAATCAGTCTTCATTAGTCGTGTTGCAAAGACTTGGAGTGATTCTTCTCTGTCTCTTAAGAGAACATCTTAATCATCTGGGACAGGAGAGTTCAGTGTCTTTCTCCTGATTGTCCCTCCAGAGGCTGCTACTTTTGTAGGGGTAATCCACTGCTTAGCCTAGTAACACCAGGAACTTGATAGAGAATGTCAGGAGAATGCATCAGCCATAGCTCCTTGGCCCACTGAAATGTTCTATACCCACTTTCAAAAGGAAAAAAGACATTTCTTAGTTGATAAAAGTTCAGCACTGGAGGGGGGAGGAATAACTCATCCTTCTTGAAGCCATTGCTGTGTCTATTTACGTTAGCAATCATATGCATTTAAATACAAGAAATCCTGAATGTTTTAGGATAGGATGAGATTCAGAAATGTAACCTGGTAAAAAATAACCCAACCCAAATCTAAACTCTTTTTTTCTTTCCACCCAGATGCAAAGCCTGAAACAACGTCAATGAAATGTTTGGGATCAGTTTTGCAAGACACCTATCTTAGACCCCTTGCTTTAGCAAACATTTGTATACACTGGTACACCCCAGGCATTGCTAATTCCTCCAGAACTGCAGGGCTTCAAAGGATGGTTCAGTATGGAGTCCCTGCTAGAAGCTACTCAACTTTGTTGATTTTTCTGCTTTGTTTTTTGTCAAAACTGGGCTTTCTTACAGGGATAATTTAATCCTTCAGAAATGAAGTGATCCCACTGAAACAGTTTGTTGTCAGCATATTATCAGTCACCTTCAGATTTCATCAGGTTTTTGCAAAATGCTCTTGTCAAGCCTGACAGACTTTTCATTCTCATTTGAAACTAATTAGAGCCTCTGCTTTACTTTGATTTTATAAAAGGCTGAGATGGGCAAAGATTCAGTTACTCTTAGAGCTCCAGCCCTATGGAAACATCTCTATATAGTACAGTAGATATCTACATGTAAAATATGTATTTTGCATAATGTTTACATATAATATAATGAGGCATTTGCCAGTTTTAAGATACAACCAACCACTTGCAGCTCTTCTTTGCATGCAGACAAACTAGATTCCAAGACAGTAAAACAAAATTAATATTCTGGTAATTATCTATTTCCAATTAAAATATCATTGTGCAATGATGAACAATAAAAAAGAGCCAAGACTTTCAAATATTTGAGGTTGAGTGCCTTGAATTAATATTTATGAACCAAAAATAAATGCCCTGACTTTGTAAGAGTGCTGTGCACTCAGCAGCATCTTCTGCAATCAACAAAAACATGGATGCAGCACAGAGTAACCTGGCTGTCTTCTGCATTTTAATTAAGGATAGGGCTTACAGCCTTGTTAAGCTCATAAGGCTGCAGCACTTGGGTAAGGTGTAAATGCGTTGGAGTTTCCTTGGTTAATGATGACAGTCTGCACTAATAACTAGTTTTAAGAAGCAGATGTACTTAACATTTTGAAAAGCACTCAGCAGCTTCTCCTCAATTCCTGGCTTCTGAAATACAGATCACTTATTTAGTCCTTGGTTTCTTTTTTGCTGCCAGTCCATGAGGGTGACTTGTTTGTTTTGTACTCTGTAGTGGTTTTTAAATGACTGAATATTGTGGGAATACAAAAGAACCAATTAATACCAACCATTCCACTAAAAATAAGCTTGCTTAAGCTCTCCCAAGGGCTGTGGTGTACCTTTTTGCACCTGAAAGCAGTTGCTCTGTGAGAAGATACAAGTTCTTCCATCTGCCTTTGCTGTCCAGCTTCTTGTGAGCTTGTTTAACCACTGTACCCTTGGATGTACAAGAGGAGAAGACAGCAGTGCTAAGTGCTGCATCCAGATTTGTAGCACTCATAAACAATGTCCAGGGGTGTGGGATACAGCAGAGCAAATTGCAAGGAAGTTGACCCTGTTCCGTGCAGTTCCTGGTTTTTCACAGAACACAGTGCTCTGATGACTGGGAAGATGCTTGCACCACTTGAAGATACTAAGGGCTGACACATTAGCTTGTTTAGTGATGCCATCTGTAGCCCTTTTCTAATTGGACTTCTGAAGATATGTTCTCAGCTTTATAAGAGCCTTTAAAAGACTGCCCAGCCTTAGTTATTTTTGTGTTGCAGCTGGAGGAGTTCTCATAAACAGAGGTTGAAATTTTCTGTATCAAATATATTAGTGACTGATTGAAGTGGATTTCAAAACTAGCTAATCAAAAAGCATTACCCTACTTTACACCCTTCAGAGCAAGCAGCTAGAGAAAGTGCCAGACAAGGTTTAGGACTCTACTGACCCCCTGTACAGTGTGTCTATCAGTTCTGCTTCCTCTCTGGGACTTTACAGCTCTGTACAATGTAATCCCACAGGGATGAGTTAAAGAAGTATTTCAATATCCTGCCATGTGTGACATATGTTTTTTACTTCCACTCTTAACTGCAGATGTCTACTAAGTAATAAAATACATCTTTATATGAAAAGATGGGTATCAGCTGAAGTTAAATTTTGTGGGGGTTTTGCTAGTATAAATGGTCAATAAGTATCAACATTTCCTGTGTTTTCATCATTATTCCCTGACTTTTATTCCATCTTAGCTTTGTTAAATAACATTCTGCTTTGCACAGGAATTGCACAGCAGATTGAACTCAAGAGACATCTGATCTAGCAGTCAGATGGAGGCTGATATCAGCTATTTCAGTGGAAGGTGCAAAAATCAGCTCTCAGTAGACATCAGGTAAAAATGTTTCAGTTCCTTGTGTCTAATAGAGACTGTTTTTTCAGGCTTGCATATGACATTTAAGTCACTCCATTCACTGGAGATAATACTGTGAAACATTTCCGTCAATATACATGTTCAGTTCTGTATATATGTCTGTACATGTATAGATATATATTTCTATACACATGTCCAGACAAAATATATATTTCTTCCTTCCTATGTTTTGACACTTTGCTTTAAGGAGCATTTTGTCCCAGATAGATGATCAGTTACCTTTCTTTAGGACAATTGTCTGATTTCTCTTGGTTCAAAACTCTTTACTTCCTCCCTCTTCACATTAATTTCTCAGGTATATCTGAAATATTAGTTTGAAAAATATGTGGAGTAACCTCTTCCACCTACCCAGTTGTCAGGAGTCAGCATAAATCAGTCTCTGGCATCCACGATGTACCAGAGATTGTTTTGGGAAAGTTATGGAGGTTCAATTCTCAAACACTGGTGAAAATTACCCTGTGTTTCAACATATCTGTGCTGCTTAGTTGGTGCCAGTTTGAAGGAATATAGATTTCTCCGTTGATTGCAAGAACAGGCTTTTGGTTGACTGAAGGGAAATATTCTTTAAAAGACTCACAAAATATTGTCAGGTTTAAAGTCTGATGAAAAACTTGATCTACTCCATTAATTGCTTTCCAAAATGGCTTTTTTTCTAGAGATGCTCTCCTTCCTCAGCTTTCTACCCCTGTCTTTCCCCACCTTTTAAAACATGGCTCTGCCTTACTAAAGCCATATAAAATTCTTCCATAGCATAGCAGATTGCTGTCTGCTTAGAAAATCTATTTTTATTCTGGGTGAACAGCTGTGGGTTGTGTCACACAGTATTACTTGCCTGTACCTGCAGGCAGCTGGAGATAAGGGCAGAATTTGCCCTTCACTTGTCCAAATGGAGACCAGTGAAGAGTGGTGCTCCTCAGGGGTTGGTATTGGGAAGTGGAATTAAACAGTTGTGGTGGAAAACTGAAGAAACGTATTGATAGCAGAACTCTCCTGTCATGTGTGCAGGTATATCATCCTTTTCCCAGGGTTCCACTTTAAGATGATAAAAATGCTAATTTTTTTCTCTCTGTCCTCTGTTTCCCACATGCTCTGCAGCTCTTTGTGCCAGTGGGTAGCTGTGTATGCTAAGGACCAGGTGGGACAGTGGCAGCAAATATAATGGTTCTTGATGCCAGTAATTAAAATGGGATCATACTGGTAACCAAAATGAGAGGGGGAAGTTCCTCTCTCAAAGAAAATCTTTAATCAACAGGTAATAAAACCAATTTTGTTATGCCTGACAAGGACTGCAAATCGGTCACAGGTTTCCTAAATCAGACACTTCAGCATTTTGTTGGGGAAGGGCATTTCCTAGTTGTATAAATGACATGGCCTGTTGGGATATGGATCTATTTGTGAACAAAAACCAGAGACAGCCCTGGACTATGGGCATATTTCTCTGCTTTTGAAATGTCATGTCTATGAAAAGTGTTTGATTACTGATGGGTTTTAAAACTTTTATGGCTTCTGCTCCATGTTCTAAGGTATGCTTTCTTCTCTTTCCAACTTGTCTGGTTGAGATAAAACTAAAAGGATCAAAGGCAAACGTTTAATTTATTTCCTTATTTTGTATTCCATTTTGAATATAAAATCTTCATTATTGTCTTCCATTTAACAGGTCCTCTCTGCATCAAAATCTTAGAATCATAAAATTATCTAGGTTGCAAAGGATCTTGAAGTTTATGGAGTCCAACCATTAACCAAGCACTGTCAAGTCCACCACAAAGCCAGGTAAGTAAGCGCCACATCTACACATCTTTTAAATACCTCCAGGGATAGTGACTCAACCACTTCCCTGGGCAGCCTGTTCCACTGCTTGACAATCCTTTCCGTAAAGCATTTTTTCCTAATATGCAATCTAAACCTCTCCTGGTGCAACTTGAGGCTGTTTCTTGTGATCCTGTTGCTTGTTATTTGGGAGAAGACACCAACACCCACCTCACTACAACCTCCTTTCAGGCAGTTGCAGAGATTGATAAGGAGTCCCTTCAGCCTCCTCTTCTCCAGACTTTTCTTCATCCTTTGTCACTGTGTTTCCCCCCACATCCAGTAAAGGATGTAGATCCTCCTTAGCTCTCCTTAGTTGCTAATGTGGTTATAAAAATAGTTTTTACTGTCCTTTATGGGAGTAGCCAGATTAAATTGTAGTCGGGTTTTGGCCTTCTCTAGAATTTTCTCCCTGCACAACTCATGTCACTCTTGTAGTCCTCCTGAGTTGTCTGCCCCTTCTTCCAAAGACCATGAACACTCCCTTTTTAACTAAGTTCCAGACAAAGCTCTCTGTTCAAACAAAACAGTCTTCCTCACAGGCTCATCCTTTGGCACATGGGAATGACCTGCTCCTGCACCTCTGAGATCTTCTTGAAGAGTATCCAGCCTTCTTCCCGCTGTTGCCTGCTTTTCTCAGCCATAGTGCACATTCACACAGCCTTTGGATTAATGGGAGGATCTTACACCAAGGACTGCAGTTTGTGACCTGTAGTTTCACTTGCTACATGTCTGTCTTCAACAATCCAAGCCTCATTCTCCTATTATAGTGACAACAGCTTATAAAGCCTTTCACAAAAAGGCAGAAGAGGAGAGGGATCCTCACACAAAGTCAGATCGATGCATCAATGCTGTGAACTGCAGAAGGCAATAACCAGTGTTCTTGTGGAAGTCTGGTTTAACATAATTTAGTGCTACAATTGAACCTGGGGCATGAACCAAAAACATGGAGGAAAACTTCCAGAAATAGCAAGAACTGAAAGCAGGTATCCCTTTACTTTTGAAACAAGTCTGCAAATTTCACTGCTCAAGCTTCACCAATTGCTAGCTTATGCCACACATAAATGTACCACAGATTGTGACATTGAAATGTGACATGCTTACCTATTCCAGCTTAATAGAATTATGTGGGGTTTTTTTCTATGCCAGCACAATATTAGTTAAATGAGAAGCTCAGTTGGATTTCATTACCAGCATTCTCATAGAAGTACTATAATTGAACCTTCACTTATAGCTTAATCTCAAAGTCAACAAAACTACACAGAATTTTGACAGAAATCTAAAAGGTGTCGCTTGTGTCAAGCTTGCACTGATTAATTTATTGATCTGTTTCTATTCAGCTAAGGATAGTGCTCAGATGGACTAAGAGGAGGATAACACAGAAACATTAAGGAAGTGAATCAAAATGAAGAGAAAGCACAAAAGGGCTTATTTGAAAATCGACTTTGGAAAGCCAGGCTGGCATCATCAGTTAATTCAAGGGGGTCAGTCCGTGCTGCTGCTGGAGGTGATAGGCTGTGTTGTGGCAGGAGAGACGGGTCTTTTGCAGGAAACACAAGTGTCCATGTCTGAGGCAGCAGAGACTGATGCAAGGTTGGAAAGGTGTCACATAGTCATAGAACATGTCAGGAAGACTGTCTGTTTCATCTTCCCAGGTAGATCTGGACTACCAAGAACAGATTTTTTACAGCCAAAGGAAATTATATATTTTATATATATATATATATATATATATAAAATATTGAGAGACTCCTCTTTGGGGCTTCTACATATTCAAACCCAAAATGTATCATACATACTGAGCGGGAGGTAATTGACTTTAGATGAATCAAATTTTGCAGATATGAGGGCTGGGAAAAATGGGGTGGTGTGGGTATTTTTGGCATTTGGCTTGTTTGGGTGTTTTGGTTTGTTTTATTAAATTATTTAAATATGTCCAATGAGGCATCATCCAGCTGAGAGAAACTGAGAAGGAATACTATTTGTCAGGGAGAGATTAATCTGGCCCAGGTGAAGTGTCCATAAGACGCTTATAAAAAGACAGAAAAGAAGCCATGTCAAGACTGTAGCATATTAATTTCCTGTTTCACTCCTCCTACACGGAGCAGCTGAAGCTACAAAATCACACTGCTCTCTGGAGCTGAAGGTTGCTATTTTTAACCCTTGCTGTGTGATGCTGAATGTCAGACTTGCCCCAGGTTAGAATGGATGGTACTCAGACTGTTGGTAGTAAAGGGCTTCAGGCAGCTTAGGGCTCTCATGCTTTATGAGTCATTACTAAAGGCTATAAATAGGAAGTAATATAAATTATATAAGCCTTACAAACCATATAGTGTGGAAATAGTATGACTCAGCCCAGTCACTCCATCTACAATTTTATAATCTCTTATCACTTTGTTATACTTGAGTTCTGAAATATTGAGTACAAGCCAGGGTCTGATGTATTGGTGAGATGTTAGTTCTTGTTTCTCAGGACACATTATTCATAATACATATTCACAAGTGGGAAAAGGCTGGGTTGAAATGGTGTGTGAAAGGTGTGAAGGTGGGTAAGATTTGGCCTCTGCCAGCAGAAAAGGTCACAGCTCAGGAGGGAAGGCAGCAAAACCTGAATTCATGCAGAGATCGGTGGTGGAAGTCTGATTAAAATTTCACTAACTGGCAAATTCTGAACTTTCCTAGGAAAGGTCAAGTTGGTTTAGCAGGAAAAAGAGGCTGCTCCCAAATCCTGGCGACTTTCTTTTCCGCAGCTGGAAATAACTCTGAACTGTCTGGATAAGTTTAAGCACTGCCAATAAAATAAGCAGAGTTACACTAGGACAAGTTTATCATTGGCATGATAATTCACTGAGCCACTTTTGCAGTAGGGATTGGTTTTACTCAGCCTTCCCTGAAGTTACTTTTCTGAACTATAACAAGTTCTTATCAGAGGCATCTGAATAAAATAATCATTTTAAATCAAAAATATTAATAAAGAAGGTATTTCAGATACTTCACTTGCAAATAATTCATTACACTGAATTAGTTTTCTCAAATCAATTAGGAGTCTGCCAGGTACCAGCAAATGGCAATTTAACAGCAGGAACAATTTTTAGATGTATTTTAGAGAGGATGAGAGAGTAGAACCAATTTCTTTAAAATTGCTCCTTCAACCCACAGGGTCCTGGCTGAACATTTCTCTCCAACAACACATGGGCTTTTGTTCACCAGTCTTCCTGTTTGGAACAAGGACATATTGACTTAGGACTACTCTAAGCCTAGTTATTTTGTTTGCTGGTGAAGCACGATGAGTATTTATTCTTGTGAGCAAAATACACAGTCATGTGGTTTATGTGTCTCTAGGGTAAACCCAAGATGTGTAGAGACATATGAGTGCCAACTGTTTCTATATCTATAGATGATGTACAGATCCTTTTTACAAAGTCCTCACTACAGAGAGTAGTCCTACAAAGGACCAGAGTGACCCAGAATGCCTGTGTAGTGATCTGAGACACATTACTGATACACTGTTTATGCAGTTCTTGATAGATGTTGCTTTTTAGTCTTTAATGGATGATTCTTTGGTCTAACCCAATTTGTTCTTATAAGCTCAGGTCTGCCTACAGCTAGCTAACAGAAAGCAGTAGGTACAAATTGTGTCTGAACGCCTCACTCTCACTGGCATTTAGACACTTGATGCTATATTCTTTCACCCACATAAAATACAAATAGAAGCAACGTCTTGCCAGTCTATGTCACTTCTGGTGATGGAGGTAGGGCTCGTTACCTTTTATTTGATGAATTTGGAATCCAAAAACCTGTCACTGAGAGGGGGTGAGGAATAGAGCTCTGCCTGATCATGAGGCTGTAGGCTGGGTGTGTGCAGTGACATCCATGTTCAGCCTCCACTGCTAGACCTGGTAACTATACTTGGGAATGCAGGGGGGAGCAACAGGGGAAGCCTGGCTGCAATGCTGGGTAGTAGGAACTGCTTCTGAATTAACCAAAGAGTTAATGCAAAGAGTTGTGGTCAATGGCTCAATGTTGAGTTGGAGACCAGTAACGAGTGGTGTCCCTCAAGGATAGGTGTTAGGACCAGTCTTATTTAACATCTTTGTTGCTGACATGGACAGTGGGATTGAGTGCGCCCTCAGCAAGTTTGCCGATGACACCAAGCTGTGTGGTTCGGTTGATACGCTGGAGGGAAGGAATGCCATCCAGAGGGACCTTGACATGCTTGTGAGGTGGGCTGATGCCAACCTCATGAAGTTTAACCATGACAAAGTGCAAGGTCCTACACCTGGGTCAGAGCAATCCAAGGCACAGCTACAGGTTGGGCAGAGAAGAGATTCAGAGCAGCCGGGCAGAGAAGGACTTGGGGGTGTTGGTTGATGAGAAAATGAACATGAGCCGGCTTCAGTGTGTGCTCGCAGCCCAGAAAGCCAACCGTATCCTGGGCTGCATCAAAAGGAGCGTGACCAGCAGGTTGAAGGAGGTGATCCTGCCTCTCTACTCTGCTCTCATGAGACCTCACCTGGAGTATTGTGTGCAGTTCTGGTGTCCTCAACATAAAAAGGACATGGAACTGTTGGAACAAGTCCAGAGGAGTCCACGAGGATGATCAGGGCACTGGAGCACCTCCCATATGAAGATAGGCTGAGAAAGTTGGGGCTGTCCAGCCTGGAGAAGAGAAGGCTGCGTGGAGACCTCATAGCAGCCTTCCAGTATCTGAAGGGGGCCTATAGGGATGCTGGGGATGGGCTTTTCATTAGGGACTGTAATGACAGGACGAGGAGTAACAAGTTCAAACTTAAACAGGGGAAGTTTAGATTGGATATAAGGAAGAAGTTCTTTACTGTAAGGGTGGTGAGGCACTGGAATTGGTTGCCCAGGGAGGTTGTGAATGCTCCATCCCTGGCAGTGTTCAAGACCAGGTTGGACAAAGCCTTGGGTGACATGGTTTAATGTGAAGTGTCACGGCCCATGGCAGGGGG